TATTTGAGAGAGTCCGTGCGGGAACAAATGGAGAAGCCAAAACCTTCGCCAAGGATACGACAAGCTTCCGGACAGCGAGTTCGCTGAAGTCTTGTTACAGTAAGTGGCTTCAGCTAACGTTCACTAATTTGTTTTTTGTAATTTTGTGTGAGTTTGTTTTTGTATTAACTTAAGCTCATTTACAGAGTTCTTATCTTCTGTGCTTTGTCTTGTGTCTTTAGTTCATGTCTAGATTATAAAAATACAAGGAAATCTTGGAAAAGAAAGGTCAGCGATGATGACATTTTTCCTAACCTCGACTTTCATTCAGGTGTGAAATACAGTTAGTCAGTGTCAGGAGCTCCAGGAGCTTGATGGGCTCCTGTCAGTGTATTATCTCTTGATCTCAACAGTGATACTCAGCTCTGAAGGAAAGTAACCTGTCCCTTATCAGCCGGCGGTCCTGTTTTCCTGAGAGTCACGCACGGCGAGCGAAATGGTAGTCTGCTACACAGCCGTTTTTAGTGTCGTCACGCAACGCTCCTCCCCACTAAGGGCTGCGGAAAATCGAACCACATTCCTTTCCCTCAGTGTTTGTGTTCTAACGAACAAACCAATCATGTATAACAAACTTGACAATACGTGAGCTGCAAGGCGCTAGAACACGCTTCTCAGTTTTCGACAAATCAATCAATCGTCGCTGAATTTTGACGGGATCTGTGTCTGCAAGCAATGAAAAGGTTGTTTCCAGAAAAGTTTGTTTTAAGCGGTTAACAAAATTCCAAGTGAAAAAAAAAAGTTTGATAGGCCTACAAGACTCTTACCAGGATCAGTTGGTTCTTTTTAAGGTGCATGTATGATGAATTTCATGTGCCGGATGTGCTCATTGTGTTGTTGAAGACTAAACTCTCAGGGGTACTGATTTAAACAAAAGCAATCTTATAAATTATCGATAAGCGATTTCCCAGAAGTATACCCGGCAATTTTATAAGCACATCCATGTTGTGCATCATATTTGCTCGACTTGCTTGCTGTTGCTGCTTATCTCAAAAATTTTGAAAGGACTCAACTACGACAACACTACTCTAGTTGATTGCTTGTTTTCACACGACAATTTTGATTGTTCTGTCATTCACACATGGGGCAATGATAAAAGCAAAGCTGTGATTGGAGGAGTCACCATACTGCAAATGTGGCACAAACTCCTTCCAGGAAATGGGAGCTGAATTCTAATTGGCTAATCGCGGGAAAGGAATGTGGTTCAGTTTTCAGCAGCCGTTAGTGGGGAGGAGCATTGCGTGACAACACTAAAAACGGCTGTGTAGCAGACTAGAGGGGAGGAGCATTGCGTGACGACACTAAAAACAGCCGTGTAGCAGACTAGCAAAATGGTGATCATTATGCAAATCAACACTCGCTCAAACTCTCGCTCTCTCTACTATCAAACGAAAAATAAGAGACTGTTTGCGGTTTAGTACTGTAGCAGCTTATAGTTTTTCTTCAGAAGACGTAAATGTATCAGATTTAATCTTAGGCCATCCTCTTTTTTCACCGTTTAGTGTCGTCCAAATTTTTGGCATTTTCAAAAAAAATTTACAAAAAACCGACGTAGTTAAACCATTTTTCACTTGAAATAATTCTTTTAATCTGAAAAATGAGCATAGTAACAGCAAAGAGAAAAAACAGGTACATTTTTTACAGTATATTGTGCATTTTGTTAATCCAAATATGTGAATTGTTAGCATGTTACGTCATCCTGGGATACCAGGGCCTCCTATTCCACGACTTCTTGTTATTTTTTTTACCTTTTTTTTTTTTCAGTCCGACCGACTGACCCAATAATTATAAGGAAACACCATTTGACCCTAAACGAAAAAAGAGGGGATGGCCTTATTGTATATGATCAAGGGAATCTTTTTTGGTGTCCTGCAGGCCATGGTCAGTTTGTTTTTCCATAGCGGTTGATATGGTAAACTTATGTTTTATATTTTCCTTTAGGTATTACTGCACCGTTTTGCTCAACCCCAGCTAAGAGAGGAAGGAAAGAGTGCCTGAACAACCGTATTTACTGATCTTTGGAGGTGTCTTTTGACAGGTACTGTTTGTATAAATGTTTTGAATCTAAAAATACTTGTTTACAACTAAATCAGTATTATATAGTGACTCCAAGCGTTACTGCACCTGGAAAAAAATTGAGCATAGTATTTGCATTTCAATCTAGTAGTTTAATCCAGGTATTTTGGGTGGGGGAGGGGGGGGGGGAGGGGGAGGGGGAAGGGAACAGTGTCAATTAATTGTCCTCACTTGTATGTGCATGTGTATGTTACTCCAGGTGAAGTCAGTCGATAGAAATCAGTAACAATCAATAAATCAGTCCTTGTTGATATTATTAGTCCAACTCACAAATGTTTCTCTTCATCAATTTTTTTTATTGCTATCGGAAATCAATATCAATATTTGATTGTTATCAAATTGCAATTTTAAATATCCTCATTACTGATATTAATTATTATTTTATTGATTGACTACATCTAGTGTTAAATTTTCTGTATTTCAATTATTTCTCTCAGGTGTGTTGACATAACTGGCATCAATGTCACTGAGGAGGCAGAATTAAAACTAATATTTTTTTATCCTTTCTCTCAAACGAGACTAGGAAATGAGAGCAACCCATTTGTTGTTGATGCCAGGGTTGCTCATGTCCCAGTACATGATGACATTGAAGATAATCAAGAATTTAATGGCATGTGAGTCTTACCTTAATTTATTCAAGAAGCATTTCAGGCGATTCAGGCTATAATATTTTAGTAAAATCCAACTAGTGGTCTATTACCAATGCTGCATTTTGATTGGTTGAGCTACTACTAGGCTATATGTTATAGCCTACTAGTAGCGAAAAGCGCCAGTTTTGAAAACCAAAACAATGGCGGCTGAATCGCTTTTTGCTAGCGAAAGTTGTTTTGTCTCGATATTTTTTACCAACTAGTTGGGTTTTACTAAAACAATTATCCTCTCACCCTCATGGCCTCTGAGTCAATAGTCCATTCGGCCTTCAGCCTCATGGGCTATTGACTCAGAGCCCATTCAGGCTTGAGTAATAATATTATTGTTAAATAAACTGTTTTGAACGTCTTTTTATGGTTAGTTAAGGATCAGTTAAAACCAACTTTTAAGCCCAGTAGAATGTCTTCATCTACCTCAACTATGATTTGCTGCACTTGTCGCTAACCAGGACAACTAAGTACCAGGGCTCCTTCTTGTTCAGCGGGGCCAAGATCTGGAACACGCTTCCCCTGAGGAACAAGCATGATATTAATAGTTAAGTCTGACCTAAAAATTCACTTCAGATCCTTGCCAAATCGAGTGTCTCATGCCTTTGATATACTATTGTGCTATTTTTATTTCTATTGTGTTGCAAGTTGTTTTTCTTTTCTATCAGAGCCCCATTTACACAAGTTTTGCTGAATTGGGCATTTCCGTAAAAATATTGGTAATAAATGAACATTATAAATCTCCTAGAGGTTAGAATTATATGTACCACTTGTGCACTGTGTTTTTCCTTAGATGTGCATGTTGTGTGTTTATTGTGAAATCCATTTCACTAGGGTATTAATTTATTGTTCATTTCAGGTTGTCAAAGGTCCTACTAGAGGACTGCAGGATGACAGTGATGTTGCTGAGAGTGATGCATGTAGTAAGGCAGTGAAGAAGATGATGGAGGAGAGGAGAGGCTAGAGCTAATACTTGATCCTTTGTCTCGCCAAGAGACTTCTGAAAATGAGTGAGAATTTTTCTGTATGTTTCTTTATTGTTCTCAGTTATCTTGTAATATATTGTTGAAAAGATGTGCTTTGTAGTTCTGATATCATGTGACTTGTGAAATTTTTCCACTCAGAAAAAAAAAACTTTCCTATGAGAAGATTTTGTACAGTTAATAATAATCAGCTCATACATGACATATGCATTCTCTTGTTTAGGTACCCTCCCATTTTGCATTTTATTCCATGAACTTGAAGTAGACAGTCAGGTGAACTACGTAAGCATCTTTTCCCTCAGAACTTACAGTGTATGCACTTATTTCATGTGAATTACGTGGCTCAAAAATCAGCAGCCGGGCCTGCGTCACTCCATTTCCATGGTCACTTTTTTCTCCACTCCCTTGCTCACGAGAGAAAAAAATCCTGATTGCAGGTTACCAGCTGCCAGCACTTACTTAGAACCCTGTGTAAGCATATACTGTACAGGGTTACTTTATGGGTTACTGTATTTGAAAAATAAACAGGTAGATATTTCTACAACATTTTGTTTTTCAGAAACTATTTCGTGGTTGACTTCAGTGACTATCCTGATCATGATGAAGCTACTGCTGTGCCAAACAGCGAGGATGCCGCTCTTACCATTCTTGTCTCAGAGGCTGATAGGACTACCTATCATGTGGAGACCATTGCCGAGTCTCACCATACCTTGCAGAGTGAAGTGGAAGAGGTTTACAAAAAAACCGGGAGAGAGATTAAAGAGAATTGGACTTGTCTAAAAAACCAAAAGTGTTGGTCGCTATTGATAAGATCAAAGAATTGTTTCCAGAGACTTGTCATGCATGTGGTGGTGCCATTTCTTTGAAGCAAACAATGTCAGGTGCTGAGTGTACTGAAATTACAGTGGAACTGTGACAGTGGGCACTTTGGCACCTGGGCTTCCTCAGATGTTCTTACTGTAAGAAATAATCAGAAAGTGTATGTGAATAATTTTCAAATGGCAGCAGCTATTACTCAGTGGAAATAATTTCTTGAAATTTAGCCTTCTGTCCAAGTTTCTTAAAGGTCTGGAAATTATTTCTGAAACACTCTTCTACAGAATTCAGAAGCTTTATTGCTGTCCTTCTATGAAAAGTATGTGGATCGAATGATGTTAAGGATGTGACACATCAGCATTTCTCATCCAGTAAAGTTTCACTGTCGGGGGATTGTAGACAATTGCAGACTCTCCAGGGCACACTGCACGATCTGTGTTTACATACTGAGATGGAAGAGGGTCTGAAGTTGGTAGTGGACTGGGAAGTGGTTAATAGTCAGGAGACGGGTGGAAAATCTGCCAACATGCAGGGTGCAAAGGAAGTCAGTTTTAGCATCCTGCCTTTTGGGCAAGCTGTAGCTAGCATGTACTAGCCCACAAGTCATTTCAACTAGCCCCAAAACCTTTTTGATTAACAGGACTGATAACAATCCTTCTGTAATTTGAATTTCCCCAAAAAACAACACTTGCTCGTTGGGCGAGTTAAGAACAAAGATCACTATCCCAATAGCAAAATTCACTAGCCCCAGGATATCAGACACGACTTTCTTTGCATGCTGACATGGAAAAACTGGCCCTTCAAAGATTACTACAAAGGCTGAAGGACGTACTGAAAGTAGATCATCTTGTCACAGATGCATCACCATCTACTGTATCAAGACACTGGTGCGGGGTCTAAAAGGTATAGCATTTCATTCCAATAATGAAATTATCTACATGTACCGTAAATCCTCTATTAAGCCCCCCCTCTCAAATAAGCCCCCTCCCTCTAATAGCCCACCCCTTTTCTGGGGAAGATAGGGTTAGTTATAAGCTCCCCCCCCTCCCTCTATTAAGCAGGTGCAAATGGTGGCGGCAGGTGGCCTGTCTTTATCACCATGAAAAAGGCCCAGGGGTATTGCTGTGCTGCTTCCATTTGGATTGGATGCAAGTTCATTGCTCATTTCCCTACCCATATGCCATTCGTTATTTATTTTCTGTCTGGAGTGTAGAAGCGAAGGACTTTAAATTTACTGATATCTTCCCTTTGCTAAAATAAAGTTGTTGCGCCTAAATTGTAAGGGGTTATAGAAATATTATCATGTATAGAAAGTGGGTAAATGGCTCTTTTCAAAACTTAATTTGGGCCTTAAAATTATTGTTGCATATAATTATTTGCTTTGTTTTCCATTTTTTTCACAGACGTACCAGATTTAAGGAGTTCCGTAATAACTTTAAAACTGCTGTGGTTCAATTTAATCCTTGATTTTAACTGTAATTTTTCTTTGCTTGTAATACAGTTGTGTTGGTAAAATCCATTCTCAGATTGCAGTAAATTTTTTTCTCCTCAATCAAGAGAGGATACAAGTGCACTTTGGTTCAATGCGAGAATTGTTTTACCCTTCAATATAGACAATCTTTTATTTTTTTACTGCAGAACAACATAGAGAACTCCAGGAAGTCATCCATGACCTGCTGGACATTTGGCACAAGTCTGCAAAACTTGTCAAGGCTTTGACTGATGTAAGTTATATATAGTTTGATTAAGATATCTAGTTAGATTAATATTAACCTTAAAAAGCAGTGCATGAGCATGTCTTTAAAATAAGCTACTGCGGTTTTCATAAAAACTATTATCTCAACTGGCTGCTAACTTGAAAGGCTGTAGTGATATAAGTGACTGGATTGAGCCAACCACTTCTGGATCTGTTGCCAACAAGCCAGTGGTGATGTGCTTGCACTGAAGGTATTGATTGTTACTTACTCTCAATCTTGTCTATTGTTAAGGTGGTGGATCCGGGGGAGGGGCCCAGATGACCGCCCCGGCCCCCTTATCTGAAGGGCTGGAACCACCAATGTGTTATACACTTAGAACAAAGATAACAGATTATGAATACACTGGCAATTTATCCTAATGGCAATGTCATACAACTTAATTAACGACTATAGCTTACCTTTATTTGTACTGTTACAAAATCTTTGCCATCAAAACTACTTGGAAATGGATTTCCATCCATCAGAAGATATAAGTAGTTCTGCTGTTGGCAGTATTCAAACTGTTTTGATTTGTATGGCAAACCCACAACTGGCTTTGCCCCAAATTGATCAGGGAAAATTCAACACTGATTACATAAAATCTGGGCAGGGCTTCCGATTGATGGTTCAAGCTAATTTCCCTGGCACAGGCGTAATACTCAAACCTTGAACACCTTCCTGAAACCTGTATTGTTGTTTTTCCAGGGATAAACAGCATTTTGTTTCTTTTATTACTAAACATTAAGCTTTTTATTGACCTTTGAAAGTACCATAGATTGTTCAGCATTTACAATGAACTTTTGCTTATTCTTCCTCCATCTCATATATTTTCTTTTGAAAGCAGCTTTTGGGAAGCTTTTTGGTGTCACACTTGCTTTATAACCAATCAGAAGTTTTGGTCAGATCTGGGCAGATTTTACATCATCAATATGATATTTTTGCTGTTGTTTTTCAGATGCCTGCAATTCCACGCGAAACTACTGTAGTAGTGGTGCTGAGAATTCTTGACTGTTTTTTAAGCTATAACAAGAATGAAAATTCTAACTTGCTTTTCTACCGCATGTTGTACTTTGTAGGACATGTGGCAGGATGTTCTTCATCATGTGGTAGGAGAACATGAATGGAGTGATGGCCAGTGCTCTCACAGTCCACTCAAATTATGTGATACTGACAAACCACTCCTTGGAAAAGGGTCCAAGGCAATAGAAGCCCTAACAAAGGTCATATTGGACAAGAGATGGCTAGAAAGTTTGGTCCTTTATGTTTGGTTCAAGTAAGCAATTTTTTTCTACAAGTGGCAAAAATTTATGAATTTAGTATTCCTTTGCTAGATCCATAAAAGCCCAAAAATAGGGAAGCAGCTTTTAGATTCACCGGTACATATAAAATAATATTGTCCTTTCGTAGCCTATTCCAGACCTGTATGCGGGCATGTACCAACATGCTAATACTAATACAGTTTTTAAACATTTTTCACATAGGTATTTACAAAGAATTTATTAAACATTAATGGGAATTACTAAATTGTGTTTTTTTTATTGTAGGCATACCAGTTTGCTTGAAAACTTCAACAGCAAGATGCTTAAGTATTTCCCTAAAAGAAATGCCTTTGAGTAAGTATCTATTTTTTTAACAATGATCTTGCAGTCATTGTATTGCAAGGTATTTCATCCTAGTTACAGTTGTGCTTTTACCTGGTTTTGCTTGCTTAGATATATACAGAAGAGAGAGTTTTATTTTTATTTCATAGTTTTTTGTGCCCGGGTGCTCCTTGCTGCTCTTGACCGTAACATGCACAGCTTTAGACCACAAGCCACCACCAAAAGTGGTCACCTAATCTTCAAGAAGCAGTATTCAAAGAGAACTAAGCATGGGCACCCTGAACCCGTTAGGGCTGAAAAAACCTATGACTACATCCAGTTCCTGATGGCCAGCATCCTAAAGGCAAGAGTGGATGACAAGGATTGCTGCAAGGGTTATTTCTCTTCCATCAGATCACCCAAGGAATCTGGCCCCAACCATTGGTTTGTGAGAAAGCCCAGAACTGATTTAGTCAAGGATTATAGAAGCAGATTTGGCTCCAAAAAAGAGTGAGGATTAGTGAAACCAGTTTACTGGGTGCTGATCAGAGATCCAGCATGTTCTTTTAATCATGGTTGAAGGAACTCGCTACAGACATACAGTCATCGGAACAGTTTGATTCCGCTGCCCAAAAAAATTTAAATCAAAATTTATTCAATATATTATTATTATGAATTACTATTATTCATTGGTTGATGCATGCTGTTACTATGAAATGAGAGTCACTCAGGAACTCACTACAGACATACATACAGTCACTAGAACAGTTTGATTCTGCTGCCCCAAAAAATTTGAATCAAAATTTATTCAATATATTATTATTATAAATTACTATTATTCATTGGTTGATGCATGCTGTTACTATGAAATGAGAGTCACTCAGGAACTCACTACAGACATACATACAGTCACTAGAACAGTTTGATTCTGCTGCCCCAAAAAATTTAAATCAAAATTTATTCAATATATATTATTATTATAAATTACTATTATTCATTGGTTGATGCATGCTGTTACTATGAAATGAGAGTCACTTCATAAAAGAATTATTTCCGAAGTTTTAATTTCCTTGTGGGGGCAAAATCTACTTTTTATTCTTCTAATGAATGCTATGTTCATTGCTGAAATATTATTTACTTTGTATTTCAATGAAATGTTTTGGCACTAAAGTGAATAGAATGTTTCTCAGTCAGAGACTCATGGGATCACAAGAGAAGTGGAACTGTTTATACTCTTGACTACAGATCTGGGCCTCAACCCTTTTAAGAAATTAGCTGCAAGCCCAGCCCTGGTAACTTTATGGCTTTGGTGATAACGTAGGTCCTTGAAAATATGCTGATGATTTGACTGCAGTCATTCTTACCAACGTGATGTAATAGACAAACACTCATTGTCATCCTTTCTTAATGTTCGAGCCTGGGATACAACAACAGGAAACTAAAAAGGGCTGATTTTCAGAAAGAAAGTCTTCAACATGGTCACACCTCCTCATGAAAAATATCCTACAATGTTTAAAATGTTTTGGTTCAAAATTGAACAAGTAACTATATTGTACCCTATCCAATGTAATGCAATGGTTTTTATTGTGATAGGAAAGCATGAGGTAGTAACATATTTTGTGGTCCTAGCCATGGTTATTGATTTGGAACTTGTTATTTGACTCCAGTTACTCATTTCGTTGATGGAGAACAGTACAATCAAGGAAACTGGTTAAGATTACTTTATGGCCTAGGTTCCCACTTCTTGTTGGTGGGGTAGGGAAGAGACCATAGGTGTACAATAGACGGGGGTGAGGGGTGTGGCTGGACAAGAGACCATGCATGGGTGCTTACCATTTGCACAAACCATCTGATTGCAAATTTGATGCATAACCAGTTAACTGGTGAATTTGACCTTGTGTGGGAAGAGCACACTACAAAATGTAGCCAGATCAGCTTAAGAGACTGAGAACAGTGGAGGAAATGTATTGCTTTGCACGACAGTCCGTGTTTTCTAATTTTTTCCAAACAGAATGAGGTGAACCATTTGATTTTCCAACCAGAATGTCCAGTTTACCTGTACCCCATATGTCTGAGCAGCTGAGGGGGGAGGAGTTGGGTGGGAGATCATATCTTTAAAGGTATGGGGATGGGTTTCAATAAAAAACCAAGAGTCTCTGCAATTATGGGGATGGTGATACATCAATATCTTACGGGAGATGCGGGGGGAGATAACTGACTAATCTGTAGGTTGCACGCGCAATGCATTATTTTCAATAACAATTGACGATTATTGGACGAAGTTGAGCAAAATATCGTGATTTGTCAGTGGCGAGCAGATCGATTATCTGAGGCAAAAAATCGATCATTTTCACGCAAGAGCTATCGCAAGGAGAAAAGCACGGTTTCCTTTACGCTTGTGCAGAATATTATTTGCAGCTAGACACAGTTGGTCGTCATTGCGCATGAGCAGACCATTATTTGTAGGCAGTTATTTGCAGGTCACGTGGTAGGCTTTTGGCCAATGAAAAGGAAGAAAACTTGCATCGAATGATAATAACAGTTCAGGTTCCGTGCGACCGTTTATTTGTCGTTACCGTCTTCAAAACAGTGTATAATAAAACAATTATTAGATTCGGTTTTTGTGATGTCCTAAATGATCAAGGTTGAGGTAAGTGTTATCAGCCTCAGCCTTCGGCTCGGTTGATAACACTTAACGTCGACCTTGATTATTCCGGATATCACAAAATTGTTTACAAACACGCGCTTGCCAGATTGCACACACGCGCGCGTGCCCCACAAAAAGTGAGTAATTCACGTGAAACTAAAGTCCTGACTGATTTATTGGTTACTAGGACCCACAGTCCCACATTTGAAAATCAATTTGGCGACTAAACGGCTGCCTTAATTTGTGGCATTTGCGTCTGGTACTGACTGTAACATCGTCTCCCAATGGGCTGCCATCGAATGAGCACAGGAAAAAATAACGGATTCCCATTTTTGGATATTTTGGGGTATTTAAAGAATACCCATAAAAATCCCAAATTTGGCAAAGTGAGACAAGTCCCAACCAGGGAATTCCCAACTAAGTTCCCTGATTGGGACTTGTCTCGCTCTTCCAAATTTGGGATTTTTGTGGGTATTTTTAAATACCCTAAAATATCCAAAAATGGGAATCTGTTATTTTTTTCCTGTGGAGTTAGCGAGTCTCTGTTTGATATGCTAATTAACTCAATCATTTGTTTCTGTATAAACTAAGTCACAAATGACGAAATTAAGAGAAGGTTGAAGCCTGGAATATTTTATTTTATTTATTTTATTTTATTTCATTTTATTAGCGTTGCCCTGAAGAATACAAAAAAAACACACTGTAGATATGCAAACAAAATATTAGGGCAGGGACACCGCAACAGCTAAAGCCAATTACTGCGGACCCAATATAACCTACAAAACCGCTAAAAACCACAAAAAAATACTGCACGATTTTAAAATTGAGAAATAGTTTGCACCAAACGTCAACTTCAATCTGAGATTCTTTTTACAAAGCACCGATTTCATAGTTTGTACTTACGCCATTTTTGAAGCACTTCGTGGACTGTTTAAGGTGGGTCAACGGTATTAAACTGTTGTGTTCCTGCGATAATCAAGCT